CTAATTCAACTAAATGGGTTGTCTGGGTTGAATATGAAGACATTTTACAGAATTGTTATATGGYAACAGCATTGTTGTTTGTTTATAGCTGGACAGTATAATAACAAATATTAGTCTCATAGTCTCTCACAGTCAAATAAAACGTTTCAGGCAGTCGATTTTTTTTTGAAAAATCGTCGGAACAACTGTAATTTCGATTAATACAACAAGGAAAATACAATAAAGACCGAAATAAGGTACTTGTCAGAAAGGAAGGGGGGGAAGGGGGGGGGGATGTGGAAATTGAAAAGTGGGTTCTGGGAATAGGGTGACCTACCATTTACCATCCGGAGCAAACTGTCAACGACCAGGCCATGATAGACCATCTTGTGTCGTCAGTGACTGCTGCAGAGGGTCAATTTCCTGGCTGTGGTTTTCTCCTCTGTGGTGACTTTATCCGGCTAAATATCAAACGCCTCCAAACCCAGTTCAAGTTAAGACAACTTGTCAACAAAGCAACAAGAGGCGTCGTCCTACGCCCCAAGTCTCGACCCCCGCGCAGTGGTCCTAGCCGCGATAGTCCTATATCACGCCGCGATACTCGCGCAAGCAGGGAATTGGAGCTTGGTCGCTACCTTAGTTCCCTTGACTGGTCTCAAGTGGAGTCAGGTGTTGACTGTGCACAGAAACGTCAGTTACTTACGGACTTGATAAAGACCGGATTTTTAAAGACTATGCTGACATACTTGCCGGCCCTATCACATCTGTATTAAATAGCAGCTTTGCGTGGAAGANTTCAAAAAAAATCGACTGCCTGACGTTTTGTTCTGGGACTAAACGTCAGGCAGTCGAAAAATCTCAAAGTGCCGTACCTGTGACTATACAAACTTGTCGAACAGTATTATTTCGCACTTTATTGCATATCCCTTTCTGTATTAATTGAAATTACAGTTTTTCAAACAATTTTTTACAAAAATTGACTGCCTGACGTTTAGACACTCCGTAGAAAAACACGTGTCCTGTCATCTGTTCAGTATTAAAAATTACTACGCTTAAAATATAAAAAAATAGGATTTCATTGAGCRCTAGCTACATACGAAGCTTCAAGGAAAGAAAACTCACCTTCAACATTTCGAGTTGTGGGAATTTGGGTACGCATGCGCGATACCTCCATCCACTATCATTTTCAAATAACGAATATATAGGTAGTACTTACAAGTCAAAATATTTTTGTAACGATTTTTCACAGTTTTTGTTTGATGGTTTTTCTGCTTCGATGCACTGCTATTGTTACAATTTAGGATGCACGCAATGGTGTGTAGAACAAATTGTGACGAATATTAAAACTGAAAACATAATAACTTAAATCGCCCAATGACATCTACTAGGAGGATGTTGCATTTTGTAAAGTTGCATCTTTTCGAATTTTCGTCGGTTTTATTCAAAATCTTTTACCTCCTTTTTGATTTCTAATTACAGCTATAACTGTATAATGGTCAGTACTAAAAACCAGTTTATTGTAAGGAATTTTAACATTAAAATGTTTAAACCTTGCGTGTCAATACGCTGTTGAAAGAAATGTATTTTGCTGCGGCATGTAGAATAAGATAAACAGTCAATTTTATTGGCACGTGCTATCCCCGGGGGACTTCGCATAGTACTTAAACGAAAGCGCGCAATTACGAGTCACTCACGCTTGTGGACCAAGAAACTAACTACTAGAAGCTTATTCAGTCGCAATATGTCCGAACAAGACTCAGAGAAAGAAGAAGAAAGGCCAACAATGAATACTAAGAGAACCAGAAAATCAACGAAGCCATCGGGAACCAAGGATTGTGCTCCCGAAGAGGTACTGGATCTATTAAGGAACTTTCTCGAAGAGAAAATAGAAGGCAAAGACAAAAGAGCAGAAGAGAAAGCGAAGACCATTAAGCAGGCAGCCAAGCTCAAAGGGAAAGGGAATCAGAAACAGTTCGAGTTTAACGCGGAGATAGAAGACCTATTCATAAGAATCGTCGACGCAGAAGAAAAGGAAACAGTGGATACCCTGG